TATTCGATAAATAGTTCGATGAAAATTTATATAGAACAATTATACTTTCTTCTACATTTATATTATTAAATCGATTATTGAAATCGATACCGAAATATCGAAACTAAAGAAATCGATATATTAAAATAATAATTGAGAGCATGTAATGATTAAATTGAACTACATTGTGTAATTTAAATTAAAAATAAAAATACTTTTCTTATCGATTTTATATTTAATGTAATGATTTTATTAAGATACTAAATATTTATTTCTATACATTTTAAAAATATTTATGATAAAATATTTACATGGTATATATACATATACTGTTAATATACTCTATACTGTTGTTACATATACTGTAATTACCGAAGAAAATTATAATTTATATAATTTCAAATAATTGTATTGTTATTTATTTAAACATGGTCTTTTTTACATACAGGTTCATAGAAATTCATGAATTTTATAAAAGAAAAAAGTTTATAATTTTGTAAATTAACAAATATAATGTGGATTTTTATAATATTGAAAATTTAATTTACAAATTATTTTTATTTATGTAAATAGATAGAGGACATACGGCACAACTATAATTTCCAAACTATTCTTAAAGTTAAGCCATTATAATATCTTACATATTATATTTAAATATTTAAAAACTATATTAAAAAATGGTAATGTTTGCGTAGGAAACATTAAAGATTCATATAAATCAATCATTTCAATGGAAATGAAATGAGTGAAAAGCCCATTCGGAAGACACGTTTTAAAAAGGACGAACTTTAGCCCTACGTAAAGGAACAGGAGTGCACGCGTACGCCATTTTTTCAGTTTCACCGTCGCCCACGAGGTATTTAGTGAGCCTCCGACACGGAGAGTCCGAGTCCAGTCTACTCTCCCCAGCTTGTCCAGAGTGAAAGATTAATTGCCAAGAGTTCAGCTGCAACTTTTTGCCTCGACAACTTCTGTACGCGGAGACCTTGTTTTACTTTTAAGATTTCATTTTTTCTATAAAACCTTAAAATGGGAAAAAGAAATCATGGAGTATACCGCACCTTTCATCTTATATGGAGAAATTCATAGTAACGGATTCATATAGCACGATGGTATTGGGCAATATTCTGAAATTTATGAAATGGAATAACAACTTCAGATCTGGTGAAAAATAATTTCTCATGCGATAATCTGACTCGTCCGTACCGTCATAGATATTATTGTAAATATTGTAGATTAATATTTAAATAATAACTATTTGCTTCGATAATATTCTATCCACGTATATTTTATAATATCATATTAATAAAGTATTGTTATAATATTTATTGGATAGAGATTAATTTTTTGTTATTGTAATAAAAATTTTCTAGCATTTAATTTATTATATGTTACATAAAAAAAATTACAATATTTGATATGTCAATAAAAATATTAATGTAAGATCAACATTAAATCTTAAGCAGTCATAAAAAGTTCATTTATACATCTATTAATTGTTTATTTATAAACAATATAAGATAAGGAATATATTTAATATAATTGAAACTAACGTATATTTAATATATATATATATATATATATATGTATAATAAATTATAATCGTAAATAAATCCTAATTGTTCAATCATTAAGGTGTTTTTATTTTCTTTTTTTTTATTTACATAAATTGTATCTTTGAATGATAATTATTTTTATATTATTTTGAATATATCTTTTAACTATACAATTTATTTATAAAAAAAAGTAACATAAAAATATTCCAGGACCTTCTTGAGACACTTTCACGTATAACTGAACGAGCAAATTATCTAAAATTAATATGAATTAATATGCATTGTTGATTATTAATAATTTATAAGGATAAGGATATCGATTGTTGGATATTATTTGACATTGTGGGTAAATAATGACCAAGTACATAATAAAATACGTTTGTGAAAATATATTCGATGATAAATAAAAATAAAACAGAAAAACATAGTTGTCCTGTAAAAAATTTATCGATGAAATGTTTCTATTTATCGTTACAACGGCTAATAGGATCATATTATGACAAAAGACATGAAAATATAAAATATAATACGAACAAATAAGAGAATAAATTATAAATCTTAGTTGTCGATTTACCATAACTAGAACAAAAAAGTGCTAATTCCTTATTTCGGTTTTGATAAAATTGTGTTACGCAAAGTTAAACCGAATCAAGAGGAACCTTATTTCATCGTCTGTGTCACTTTCCCTTATGTTTCTTATTTTTCATTTATTTTTTACTGTCTTATTTACATGCATATACGACACATATGTCATCGAATAATCATAAAATTCTTTATACTATGTTAAATTATTAATTAAATAACTATTCTGAAAAATAATGGAGAATTCTGATGTGAGTATAGACATTAAATAACTATTCAATTATGAAAAAAAAAAAAAAAAAATCTTTAACATCGAATTAATTCAAGTTAATGCATTCATTTTTTATGTATTTGAAATAAAGTTTGTAATTCATTCAGAAGCTAACATTTTGGCATCATTTTGTTTATTAAAATTATTATGCACATTATAAATACATATTATTATTATATCCGTAAATAGTAAAAGCATTAACATTTTTGCAGTAATGTAATTATCATAATGATCACTCTAATGACATATATGTTGGCTCTTTATTACTTCGTCATAAATATAATTTCACTTGAAAATAATTATATAATTACATATTTCGTTGAATATTTTCGCAGCATGATTTCCCTAGGTGTCTCTTTGACAACATTCATACGTAAGTTAATGAGAAGTTACTCTACATTTTGAGTTTTTCACTATTCGTTATATTATCATTGCGCGATTGCACGCACTTTTGGGTGCCACACATTTATTTAACTGTACATTATTTTTTTACACCCTTTGCGCTGAAGTAATAAATACACTCGACATTCTATCCTTATCGCTCGTGCCTCTCAAATACCATATATATATATATGCTAGCTCGTAGATTAACATTTTTACATCGTGCGATGATCTGGTAGTGTTGGCTACACTTACTCCTTTGGCTCGATGACGATCACGTGATAAAAATTTCAGACGCTTTTCAGTGTGATTAATGTTTCTGTACTTTGTGCTATAAATAAATAATGTGACTTTATTAGATGTAATTCATTGTTCGTGCTGCATATTTAATCAATAATTGATCAATATGTGCCAGTATTTGATTATGCATCAAACAAAAAAGTTGCTATGTTACTGTAAATAATGTTATGGATAATATACTACAATTAACAGAGACATAATATTTTCGATTTTATCTCTCATGCGATCGAATTTATTCTCTCGATTCTCTTAGTAACTACAAAAATATACTATTTTCTATATCATAATATCAATATACTCGATAAATAATTTAACGGCTTATAATTTAATTATCGTTATTTTATGACAATACAATGTTCAGGAATATACGATGTAATTAGTACATGTATTTTACAGTACTTTTTTTTCAATGGATATTTCTAATCGTAATAGAAAATTAAAAATTTTGTTTAAAATTTTTTTTATACAAAATTCTCTTGTGTAAAATATCAATTTTGCTCCCAATTAAAGCGATCGTTTTTGTTATCAATAAAAAATTTTTAACTCTTTGCAAATATGTTGAGATGATTTTTAGAATTTTATTAGTATGTTTCTTTATTTAAATGTGTCTATAATCGATATGAAATAACAGTAAATTAATCTTTTATCCAACGACATAATGAAAATGTATTTTTCTAAGAGTGGCGTTTTTCAAGCAAATGATAAATTTTTCATCCAAAGATTAATAAATCACGCAAACATCATCGAGGTTTTTTTTATAACATTTTTCATGTAATTATTTTTTATTACCCACATCGGCGACAATTATTCGTTTAGAAAGGTCATTCTGCGATACTCAGAAATTGCAGCAATCAAAATATTCGGTTCTAATAGCTAAGATGTATTTTAATCTTAATTTTTACATTGATTATGATTAAGATTGCAGAACTAAAGAATTTGATTTCTGCAACCAAAAACATTCGTTATCGCGCTTATATTTAATGTATTAATTATCGAATTAACTTATACAACCGCCTCCAACATGAAAAAGTCGGACAGTGGTATTACTCTATTCTTATCACAATTCCTTGAGCAAGAATATAATTAATGACGAATGAACGAGATTTTTAACAGTTGTGATATCGATGTGCAACAATATCGATTCATAAATAGCGATAAAATTTTACTTGAAAACGTCCATGTAGTACCAGATTAGAAATATTTCCGTACTTGTAGAATATTTTCATATAGAGCAATAAACTTGTATCGCCATTAAGAAATATATTTCTATGTACCGTGATAGTACATCGCAATGTCTTGAAATTATACACAAGATATTAATAATATTTCAGCGAATAAAGTGTAGTAAAACAGTTAACAGAGAAAGCTGGTGTATCTATCATACTTATATCAAACCATTTTTATATTGTACAACCTCTACCTTATTTCCAATAAAAAAAAAGATGATAATTAATAGTTTCATCTTTTTCTTTAATCTAAGTGCAATAAGACTCCCAAAAATATATTTACATAATATTTACAGAAAAGATTATGATGCTATTTTTATACATTCTATTTCCTATTTTTTTATTCTCAAAATAATTCTCAATTCAATAATTTAGGTTCTGAAGACTCTCAAATGATATAATTATGGCTTGAACATCATCGTAAATCCATCATACTTAAGGCCAGGACCGTCTAATCGACTACGAAGGTCGAATAATATTATTTAAGTTTTTTATATTATTCATATATATCTGAAAGATATAGATAGAACTGAATATTTACGTATGTTCCCTAATTTCCCGAATCTTGTCACCGTACTCCACCGTACATCCTACTCCTACACATTCGCTTCCGATTAATAATCTCTCTTCTCACCCAGTTTTCGACTAGGCTTATCGAACAAAAACAAACGAAAACAAAAAAAAAAAAAAAAAATTAAAAAAAAAAAGAAAGAAAATAATATATTTTCAACCTCTCTGCTAGATGCATGTGGCATTACAAAAGTAGACATCATTGTCATGTTCCTCTTTAGTCGGTCAACAGTAGCTTCTGCGAATAGAGTCACATAGACTCGGAAGTCCGTCACTGGTTGATCACGCGCAGTCGAGCGAGCCGAGGGAGGCGGGACTGTGAGGTCCTGCAAGGACGAACGGTGGACTCATCGGTGCTCCGCCGCTTCCGGCGCTACTCCCATACAATTCCAGCTCGCTCAGGCTGCCCGAGTCAACGCCGCCGGGTCCTAGTGACCCGCCACCACATTTGTCTGACTTGCCCTCCTGCTTCAACACCATTCGTCGCCATTTAGCCCGGGCATTTTGGAACCATACCTGAAAAATATCGAAGAATAGCGTTTCGTGTAATAGATAGTATTTGATATGTTATTAGTTTAGCAATTAACACAATTCTCTTATTGCCTAAAGTACTTTTGGCCTAAAGTAAACTTTCCCATTGGAATATAGACAAATAAAAAAAATCATGTGTTCTGATAGATAAAATATTACGTAATATATTATTGACGCGATCTTTACAATAAATAATATTTATCCTTATTTAAATGTAAAAATGTATAGATATTTAAGGGATTCGTAAGAATAATATTTATACATTCTAGTATAATATTAATTGTATAAATTGGTAATAAAATTCATATTAAATTACTTTATTGATACAATTAATATTAATTTATAATAGAAAACTTGGTTTATTAAGATATTTTAAAGTAATGTCTGTGTACATGCTATAGATACATTATTCCCATGGTGCCTTAGTATATAAATAATTTCGACGAACTAAATTTATCTATAATAATAAATTATGTGAGATTTTGAATAAAACTTGCAAAAGCAAGTCAAATGCACAAAAAATTAAAACTATGAAAAAAAATTCGTCTGGAAAACAAAACCCACGCTTTTATATATACTCCAGTCAACAGTAGCCATATGCAAATCTTCTGAATACATGAAAACCAAGCAGAAAAAAAAATCAAGACAGATAAAAAATATAGTACGAACAACAGTGGCATTAAAACCTTTCGAAACAGTACATGAGAAGAATCGCCAAGAATTGGAATCCCTTTCCCCGAAGTTTTGTCCCATCTTATCGTCGGGAAGAAGCATTGTTCCATCACGCCGGCGCAGTCTCTCTCTCTCTCTCTCTCTCTCTTTCTCTCTTTCCTCTCTATAGGTGTATATATGTGGTCACAAGTAAAAAGAGAATCGAATAAAAGATCGCGTAACACAGGAGGTAGTCGCCATTTTGAAGATAGTTGCTCCTCCCTCGTTTCTCAGAGACGTTAATATGAATAAGTAAGGTAAATGAAATAAAAAAAAAATTAAAAAATATATATATATATATATATATAATGAAAAACAAAAATGCATATTTTTCTATATGTGCGTAAGATCAGGGAAATCAAATTTGTTGAAAAAGTAGATAAAATTTAATTCACCAAGTTTTCAAAATGTAATTATAATTTTTTTATATATTATAATGCTAATATATAAAAGTATAAGTAACATGATAATGTGACGTCAATATTATATCACACATGAATATATTTAATTAAAATAAAATAAATTAAATAAAATAAAAAGATTTTTTCATTCAAATATATGTTAATTATTTTTATATATTAGTGTAAAAGTTTTATAGTTGCATATTACACGTACAATAATATTTAGAATTTTATTTAAACTATATTTTAGGCATTAATTTACGTAATACTTAGTCCCATTATTACGATATGAAGACTACTTAATAATAATAAAATGTTTTAATTTTAGTTGTTTAATTATTCTCGGTTTGAAAATTAAATTTCAATTAATAAATTGAAGGATATAATTTATCTCACATATTATTAATCGTTCATATTTAAAGTAATATTAGTATTTAATAATTTTATGATTGAAGAAGAGTATGTATAGTGAAATATACATTAAAATGTGCATAAAAATATATAATTCCGTCATACCAAAGAACATTAAATTATATTAATATTACATTTCAGTATTAGAAATAAATTTTGTCATTTCAGTTTTGTTCGTTTGCAGATAAATGTTGTTCTCCCTAGCTCATTTATATGAATTCAAATTTTATTTTTTAAATTCAAAGGTAAACATTATTTTTAGTTGATTGTGATTACACTTTAATATAATAAGCTTTAATTTACTTTAAAATATAGTTTAAATTATATTCATAGTGAATTACGAAGAAAAAGTATCCATTCTATTATAACTAATTCATAAAATTCTATCATGTTACACATTATAAAATAAATGATAATATAAATTTTCATATATAATAATCATAATGTTCATCGTCATTGAGCAATGATTTGAATACAAGTAGACAAAATAAGTTGAAAAAATTTCTATGTTTAGTTTCACATGGCATAAAGGGTAAAAAAATTTCTAAAAAGAAATGCTATTCAACTATATAAATATTAAAAGAATCTTTTATGGGAAAAACTTATGAAAGAGAGTTCTCAGTTTTATTATAAAAAGCTATGTTCTTTCCAGTGAGATTGTGTAGTGTTGCTAAAAAATGAAAAGAACTCGCTGGCAAAGCAACAAGCACAAGTCAAGAGTTTATATTATATTTGTTTATTTCTAAGAGCTTTTTAAGTCAAACATTGAGGTGAAATTATGTTGTAAATAGAGTAGTACCTTAATAAAATTCAAAGTAATTGTCCTTACTAAGCATAGAATTATATTGTTTCAAATTTTCAATTGATTTCAAACGAATGAATTTGTTAATCTTCAAATATTCATTTAACATATCTTGTGCCATATTTTTCTTGCTTTCCAATTAACGATTTCATGAAATAATGAAAAAAGGAGATAGGGAAGAGCCATAAATAAATAAAAATAAAATAAAAAAAAGCGAAAAAGAGCAAGAGGAAGAGAGGGGACGAGGAAATAAGAATCGCGACCAATGAAAGTCAAGCAAGAAAACAGCCGATATGTATGTACGAACCTGCGCCTATACACACATGGATCGAGAGTAAGTATTTGGGTATACGACTCTCGATCAATATCAGGCAAGATGGCGAGCGCCGGGCATCCAAGACACTCCACTCTCTCGTATAGACTCTTTTAAATGAAACGAATACAAAGGTTCTTTTCTCTCCCTACTTCACTACGTCTTTTTGCACTACTCCTTTCTTTCTCTGAGATTTTTCTTTTATTTGCCAGGCACTTGGCCATCTCGTTTACTTTTCCATAATAATTTCCTCTTTACCTGGTCAAATATATTACTATCATTTGCTCTAGTATCACGAATTCTAAATATTTTATATTATAAGAATATTATGTTATATAGTACGTAAACTTTTCATATTGAACTTTTACTGACATTTATTATAATTATTATAGGATAGATGATGACAATGAGTTATTTATAATTATAACAATTTAATTACACGGATTATTTAAATCTAATCGTTTCTTCGTGAATTGTCACTTTCTTGATCTTTTAATTATATTTGGCAATATGGTTCTTTTATTTATGCAATATATGCTTATTTCATTAATGAACTTTATACCAATGAGAAGAAGAACAATGTATATGTTTTTATAAGGCTTAATTACAATAAATTTAGTTAAATTCTATTTATTTCTCGAATTTTTTATATTATAACAGTCTTATAAATCGAAACGATAATTAATTTAAATAAATAAACTATTTCTGATTCACTATTATTAAAGAAAGAGATTTAAACTGATATTCATGTAAAAAAACAAAAACATATAGATTAGTTAATTTTTAGAAATGTTTACTCGTATAGAGTTGATATAGTTATTTTGAAAAAATGATAAATGTTAATTATATTCTCTTAATTATATATATATATATATATATATATATATATATATATATATATTTTTTTTTTATTGCAAACGCTCTTTCATTTTTCTTTGTTTTAATATATTTAAGTTAATGCATTTACAAAAGCTTCTAGAATATGATATTTTTAGTTTATTTTATATTATTTCAGATCAGTTGAAAGAAAATAAGAAATATTAATCTTTCTTCGACATTATAGAATTGCTAAGTAATTTTATATATGAATATTCGAGATACCTTAATTTTATTCTAAACTATAATACGGTACAATTAATATTATGAAGATATAGTAATGATAAAATTTGATTGAACAGCTACAATCAAGCACGGCAAAACATTTGATATTTGCTTGGTGTAGAGAGTGTCTCGCCATATGAACGCGAGCAAGATGTCGAAAAACAAAGAGTTGCGTGCTGAAACATTCCGAAAGGAAAAGACAGAGAAAGGACGAGACAGAGTGAGAGAGATATCTTGAGGGGGCGGGGGAGGGGGGGGAGGGGGGATGGTAGAGAGCGGATTCTTGCCAAAAAAGAGGCACTCGTTGGACCAGTCGTCGCACGGTAGAGAAAGCTCCTCTGGATCAAGAGATGGACTTGCCTACTGTGCTGAGCGATCACCGTCGTCTTCGTCTTCGTCGTCGTCTTCGTCGTCGTCGTCGTCGTCGTCGTCGAGAAAAAGTTGATCGAATGCGAGAACCAATGACCATCGTTATCAGCAGTGTGTCCGCTCGCACGTATGCATTTATTTGAACGAGTTTACTGTGCATCATCGAGTCGGTACTACCAACTCATAACTCATTCTTATTTTCTCGTTTTACGATGCTCGTAAGTAGTACGTAAAAATTAAGATTTGACCGAGGGGGCGATTTGTAATTCGCATTAATGAATCCAACGGTATCGTCGATTAGCATTTAAGAAGAACTTTATTACTAGAGCTCGAATTAAAACAATTTGTTATGTCTGATTTTGTTATGGCAATAATTATAAAAATTACGTAGAATGGGTAGAATAGATTTTCCTAGGGATGTGAAAATTTCTATTCGTACGATCTCTTATGGGCGACACCTAAATGTACAGGTATATTATAATTTATTGGAAAAGGATCATTGATAATTTTCGTATTAAAAGTGTATCATAATAATTAAGTAGACGAAATTCAATATCAACGTACAATCGATGCAGGAACAATATCCTTTATGAATAAGTTGACAATTATTTAAAATGCACCAAGACTCACTGGATGAGTAAAGGATTTAAAATGATTTTTGAAAAATCATAATAAACAAATATACGTAAATAAATTTGATAATTTTAAGGCGTACGAAATGTCAGGATCGAAATAGTTTAAACGATCAAAATCAATGGATGGTGGAATGAATAAAATACGAAACCGTGGGCTTCGTGGATTTCTCAAGAAAACTTGTGTGTACGCTCATTCTACCCCATTGCGAAACGCACGCCCCACCAATGTTCACTTTGATCTTGCGGCGACGGTGTCGGCGCTCTCTTAAAAAGAAAAATAAACCATAATAAAAAAGGATCGCCATTACAACATAGAGTGGCACGGGATAATTGGGCCAAATGCGCGCGAAATAAGCACAAGCGAGCGAACCCCACCAAGGCGCGCACCACGCGTGAACGGCCGCAATAAGAAAATAATGGACGGAAAAAAGGAAAATAAAAGGACAATTAAAGGAACTAACTCCCATATACTAAAATCCGAGCTGGTGATTTATGCCCGCGCCACGTGTACGCGCCACGGGCGTATGTATATGGGGTAAGTCGAGCGCGAGCGCGCGAAACACCGTTGTGGATTGACGAAGTGCCGGGGATAGAGAAAAGCGACGAGCCGTCGACGGAAATATCGCGCGGGGCTCTGAAAGGGCCGAGCGACGTGAGAGTTCGCGCGCGTCGGTCCCGCGCTAATTGGAGGAAGAATATATATACGGGGAATATTTTTATCCCCTTGCTACCGACGCTCCCAAGTTTTCGAAGACGTCCCGGACGCGTGTTTTGCACTTTTCTCCATTTTGTTTTTATTTTTACCTTCTTGCCTTCTTGCATGGAAGATGAAATGAGGAGAGGAAGGGGGGGGGGGAAACAAAAGCAATGAGATATGGGTACAATGTACGTCATGGGGTATGCTTAACTACGATTTTAAATCGCAGTTGTCTGCGTTTTCTCCGAGGGGAAAGTTTTTAGGTAATTTAAGGATTAAGCATAAAGCAAAGCTGGCATTTGTTATTCTGCCTTCATTCCTTGTTTCCTTTTACTCCTCATGTGAAAATGTATACAGTATTATTAAAATACATGCCGAATACATTGTATTAAGGAATTATTCTTCCCATGAATAATCGTTATTTTATACAAATGATATGAAATATAGAAAAATTTATTAATGTTGGAACAACTAAATCGAGACGTTTGTTCATTAAGTAATTCATAATGTTAAGCTTTCAATAATTAATACCATATAAACGGATATCACAAATATATATATATATATATATATATATATATATATATATTGATATAATAATTTCTAATGAAAATATGTTCATCGTGTAGAATAACAATGAAAAAACTATAGAAACCTGAAAGTTTCACTTTCCTAATTATTTTTATTAGAAAATCATTGAACGAAATGGTGAATTTATAATAAATTCTTCAAATTATTATAATAAAAATATTGCAATTTAATTGTATATATAAATAATAATAGAAATCATTTTAATTTCGAATGATATTGTTCATATTTTATTCATGCTCCTATATGAATTTTCTCATTTATTTACAAATATTTACTATTTCTTTTAAGTAATTTTATTTTAATATTTATTAGCGAACAGTACGTTAAAGTTCTTACAAGCATATACCATTGATAATATACTATAGAAAATGAAACGTATGATAATATATTACCGATATGCCTTTAAAGTACAGGATTGTAAATTCTAGAATGAGAAATACATTTCGGATTATGGAATTGAATATTGCAACAAGGAAGTCTTTGTTATATAATGACGACTGATGTTGATGTTGAGCTAACAATATGTACAACATTACTTACTTGTAGCACCCTTTTTGGCAATCCAGTTTTTTGCGAAAGCTGCTTGAGATCTTTAGCATCGGGATTGTGATTGATTGCGAAATAACTTTTCATCGTTCTAAGTTGATGATGTTTGAAACTAGTACGCATGCGTTTTGTGCGGCTATTTGTGCCCGGCATACCGGGAGTACCAGGACCACCCCTGCCGAACGGCATATCGATGTAGTCTGCATTTAAATCTGTAAAATACAATAATAAATAAGAGGTTAATTACTTTCCACTTTAAAAGATTCATATCTTAAAGTAGCATTCTTATACGTGTATTTTTAAGTAGATAAAAACATCAAATTTATTCAATTTTATTATAGATTTTTATTTCTTAATTTGTCCACTCTCCAATCAACGTATTAATATTTTCGGTTTTTTTTTTTTTTTTTTTTTTTTGTCAAACAGATTTGTTTTTAGATTAACCTTACATATCTCTTTTATAGTTTGATATTCAATATCATCTTGATTAGTACTGTTTATGAAATGTTCGAATGTCAAAACATGTTCCTGTGAAATAAAGGAATAAAGTTCTATCGAAGTAAATTGCTTTCAAATGATAATCAGTATAATTCTTATAACTGTATTTTAAGTTTTTTTTTTTTTTTTTTTTTAATAATATCTCACGTTTTTATTTTTAATTTAATAGTGGAAATACAAGAAATTTATCGAATAATCTCAAGCATAACGAATGCCTCTTATAAACTTTGTAAAATACATTTATCAAAATATTATTTAATTATAATCCATTAACATATGATTAAAGCTTTTAATCATTTATTTTACGTTTGTTATTTCAATTAATTATATGAAGTAGTATTTATACCCGATAGTATTATTGGATTGTAAATTATGTCGAAGCAATGTAGTAAAAAAAAAAAAAGAAAAAAAAAGAAAAAAAGGATTAAAGTAAAAATTGCACGTGACCGAGTGAAATCATAATACCTGCAAAATAATTATTTATTTTTGTTTACTAATAGCTTGTGCGTTGTAATTCTAGCGACGCTGTGTAATTCTTGATGCGTATCGCAACTCATTAGCTCTTGGAGCGCATACTCCAGTCCCGGTGTATGTACGAACGAGCAAGAGAAAAGGTAAGAGACAACGTTTACAAGACCAATTACGAGTCTAGGAGGCAAATAGTTCTCTAGCACGATATATAGTAGAGAGAGAGAGAGAGAGAGAGAGAGAGAAAGACGCGCACGCGACCGCTGTCGATAATTGCCTCTTTGATCTTTATTGTGTAAATATATTTATATACTCATGTGCCTACTATCATATCTAATCAACGAATATAAAGAGATCACTATATGCTACCGGTGATACTGGTATAAGCATTTATTTATTCAATTTATCTGGTAATTCAAACTAAATAAATTGTACTGATTATCAATTCTCAATTTTTTTTTTTTTTTTTTTTTTTTTTTTTTTTTTTTTACGAAGTTTAATTAAAAATTTAATTCAGAACTATTTTTGTATAATTATTTATTAATGAAAGACAATTAGAATCATCATATAGTATAATTTATTAATTTATTAATTAGAGAGAGTGAGATACTTATATACCATAAAAATTACAAAAATAAAAATAATCAACATTGTGAACATAAATAATTTAATACAATTATAATATAATGAATTTATGTCATTTTTATACTATAAATTAGTTTTTCTATAAACTGATATTTAAAGGCAGTGAGAACTTTGTAAAACTGCCTACAACGGCTAATGTGAGCAGTTGCAGTTGTAGTAAGGCGAGTTGTTCATGCAACTGGGCAAGACAAATTTTCAACACCTAAATACACGTATTTCTGCTTGACATTACTTCAGTCATTCATAAATGTTTAATAGTTACGTGTCAAGTATGCAAGTTTTGATATATCAAGATCTAGCGAACTAGTTTGAATGAACGAAGATGACTATATTTATATTAAATTACATGTCTGTATATTTCAGCAATTAAACACCAAGTGTATTCATTGAAATGAAAAATTCGCTTGGTATTGCCATGTCATGAAATATGTTAACTAATTTATTAAACGACAAAAATATTACAAGAAATAATAATAATAATAATAATAAAGCAAAAAGTGAACGTTAAGTATATATATATATATATATATATAATAATTGACAATAAATGACAATAATAACACGTGATGATAATTTTAAGCCGACCGATTATTAACAGCACTTTGACGCATTTTATAATTATTTATTTCCTTTTTATAATTATAATTAAATATAATTAAAATTTTTCTGTATTATCCAGCATTATGTTTCTTATATTTTTAATACATATTTTCGTTAACTATACATAAATATTTTAAAATTTAGATAATACACATTACAGTAAATCAATGATTTCTTAAAATGCATCTACAGTTCTTGCATCCCTTATTGCACTACTAAAAGCACTATTTTATTTTTTATTTTTTAACAACCTGCTTATTTTATAAACTTCAGTTACAATATTAGAATTTATAATAATTGATAGTTCGAAAATCAAAAGAAACATTTCGAGAGTCCGATTGATGTTATGAAACTACGACAAAAAATGTCAAGCGGTTACGTTCCCACGGTTGTACGCTCATTTCTTAACTTTTTTTTTTTTTTTAACACGCCTTAAGTGCGCAAATCCTTGCACAGGCGGCTTGATCACCTGCCCACGCACAACGATGCAATGGCCACCGCAGATTTTTCAGTAGAATTCGTTGAATTTATACTGACTGGACAAATTTTATCGAGGGTCGGTGGCAAACATCATACGCCCACGTGCTTATATAAATCACACGCTCGCGTAAGTAAACTCCCGAATGATCTGAATATACAATTTTTTATCTTCTTCGATGGGTTTTTTACTATCGTTGAATTAAAATTACTTATCATAGATAGTTTATTTTTTGGTTTTGCCTTGAAGCTTAAGTAATTTATCTAGTATTATGAAAACTCGAATGGTTTGAGGTAACAATGGAATTCTTTTCATTTTTACTTCACTTATATAATTGA